TATATTCTATAAGGAACTCAATTCAATCACTGTAGTGACATTCTTTAAATAATTTCGCAAAGAAATTTTATCTATTATATTTAAATTTTTTTATTTTAACAATTAATAATACCAGATACATTCATGAGTTACTTATCTTTGACGTCTTGTGTGTAAGTGGTGAACTAAAGCATTGATTTGCAAATAATAAAATGCAAATTAAGAGTAAGAAGATTTAAAAATAATTGTGGATAAATTCTAAAAAAGACAGTAGTTGTTAGTGTATATTTAAAAATTGACGAATATAAACATTATTATTGGTGTTATAATGGTTTCTGATATATGAAACGCTATTTTTAATGTTGTAGCTGAACAAATTTCGTAAAAAGTCTGTTATATAGACCGGAATCCATTTTGGCTTCCAAGTATGAAGAACTCTAAACACGCATCTGTAATGTTTGTCTTATAGAAACAAAGTAACACAATCTTAATTTTTTCAAGGTTGCAGATACTTTTTAGGTCATATGAAACTGTTTTGTGAATTTTAAATTAATTGTAAATATTGCACTTGTTAAAGTACTTTGGTTTATGATTTTATTTCAACTCTACATTCATATTATTTTAAAGAAAAGCTTATATAAAGATTAAGGCATTTATTTATTTAGGTATGTTGATATTTTTGATTTATTTGAACTTACCTTTTAACTGTCTGCCGAGCTGGTCACACGGACTTTTTTCTAGCACACACATTATTTGTCGACTAACAATTGCTTGATTATTTAATAATTTGTTAATATTTTTCTCATCAGCATCTGTAGTTATTGCAAACAATATAACAAGAAAAAGCGATGTGGTTAATGTTTTATAAAAAGTTTGACGATTTAAAGTAAACATATTACTATTTAAGTAAAATGTATTCGTATTTGAATATCTAAAGAAATTCTCAATTTCACTATATAAGGATATAAATACGGAATGCTGGATGTCGCTATGAATAATAACCTTTTCCTTTATTGTCACCGTATTTTTCTACATGAGAAAAGCATGCGCAATTATTTGGATAAATAAACGTATATATAGATACACATTATCATCAGATTACTTCAATCATATCTAGTATATATGTATATATGTGCTATGACATTTAAATATTCATGTTTTTTAAGGTTCCTTCTTAGGCTTTGCTTCTATCCTTGCAAAGCTTTACATTTTTTTCAAACATTACTATAAAATAGAAAATTTATATATATTTTTTGACAGGTCGTTGTAAAATAAAGTTTAACGTTGAGTCAATATTTTATTAATATTGTAATATAATCAATATTATGTTAATATCAATTAATATAATTCTTTCTTCGAAAAATATACAAAAATTGTTAGTTAATTAAGGCAGCATTTGCGTACTAATTTAGTAACCAGAATAATTTGTTACAATAAATATTTAACCAGTAAATAGTTTTAAATTTTTGTTCATAGAATGCTGTTATTCTATTCTATATCCTTCGCTTAAACAATTAGCTATGCTTCATTCTATTGTACCATATCCTTGTACCTACGTGATATGAACATTTTTTCTTAATTTACACAATTATAACTGCTTTTTATCAATATCTAATATTGTTAATCTTGCTGGCTGTAAATCTATTGGTCTCTAATGATACCAGACTTTGTAAAAAATACTTTGTAAAGAACTCTCATAGCTCCGTTACTGAGATATACTCTATCTCCCCAAGCAATCAGAAGCATTTAAAGAAACAAACATAAGAGATGTTCGGAATTCTTCTTTTTTCAGTTGTCTGCGTTCGTCACTATTGGTAATATCTCTCTTGTATATATTTGCAACGAACAGATTGCATACCTATTATAGCTTAGCAATTTTTCAGTGATAGTACTAGTAAAAATCGAGTTTAGATTTCTCAATTTTGAAACAGGTTACACTGTTCTCATCATTACTTGTTATTCCATATATTCGTCAACAAAGTTGTCGATTTTTAAAAATTTTTTGTATGTCGTTTTTTTTTATTCAAAAGACAACCTAACAGAAATTTTCGTAATCTCATCTACTATTTCGTTTTTATCAAGAACTTTATAGCCTGGATATGTCCATCTAGTTGCGGTTAATCCTTTCTTAGTGTCCCGATTTTTTTAGTTTAGTAACAATATCATGCCCATAAAGCGTAACAGTTCTAAAGATGCGAGTACTATCAGTTTCGTTGCTTTCATGAGAATTTCTTTTTCCAATTTCTACAAAATATATAGGTATAATAAGATATCATCATCTATGTTTCCCCCAATGTAGCAGATTTATTTTGACAATTGTTAAGATTATAAACATAAGTATTATATTATTAAAATAACTGGAGGGTTCTAAAACCAATAAGTTCTAATAATTTGTTAGTAATACTATTACAATTGATTCCGGGATCGCCATGTGATGTTACAATATTAGCAACATTACTGCGTAATTATCTGTTTGGATATCATTAAATTAAGTTATAAAAATTATAATGTATTAACGACACATATAATGATCATTTAAATAAAGATTTATATGTGCTTTAATTCTATTAAAACGTTTAATTTTAGCACTCGTCGAACTAAGCCTATATGTAAGTATCTGACATTATTAATATTTGCAGTAATACAAAAAAAAATGCAATTTCATTGCTCTATTCTTAAAAACTCTAGATTATATAATGTATGAATGCTGTCGGTAGATAGCGTACTTCAATATGTCACTAGAAAGTTGGCAAACTTCATTAAGAAATCAATTTGAAGATAAAATGACGTCCTACTGTAAACTATATCATAGTTGGCAAGTAAATGGCATAAGTGTAACAGTCATAAAACATAACTGAACTTAAGATTATCTAAATATACCTAAAGTTTTAAATACCTAATTTATTGAATTTTAATTTAAATATGGGATGTTTTGTTTTGATGCTTAATGTAACTTAATTAAGTTACCTAAATGTAAATTCTGCCCTACTCATGCGAATCAATTTTTTTTGCTAAACTCTAGCCAAATACACGTAAATTTATGTTACATCTTCGTTTTTGATTAATTATTTCAATTTTTTGTCGGTACTATTCTGAGCATTACTGCAGTCTTAAGATTTTTATATTCAATTAGACATATGGATTTAAAAATGTTATATTAAGTCTTTGCATGTATATCTCTTTAGATAATGGTATTACACGTATTCTATATTTTCCAAATGAAAAATGTGTTATTAGGATACAATAAACTTAAATTGACAATTCTCTTCAAAATTTATCTAAGGTTAATATGAAGAAAGCATGAGAGAAAGACAATCTTGTCCAACAACTGTATTCACCTCATACTTATCTAATAGAACGAAACTGTTATTTTCCACACTTAGAAATTTTTACATACAGACTTTATTATAGGTATTTAGTATGTTTAAAGACAAAACCTTCCAATTGTCGATTCATAATTTTCTGCTGAATAAATCGTTAAACAGTTATAATAATTCATTTAAAAATCAAATTATTTTATTTATTTCTTTTCCTTCATGACTTTATTTTAAAAACACGTACGATACTTATGAATAAACATTAACGAAGATTAAATCACATTGCTATTTACAAAATTTTGATTACTTAGATTAAAATTAAATTATTATTATGTTTATTATTCTTAAAATCCACTTAACACAAAACATATATGAAACATAATTGTAATAAAATGAATACGTTTACTTAAAGTTTTATTAGATGTAGGACGGAAAAGGTTCTGAAAAGAAATGAATTAGCGTAGGAATAATGTCTCTGGCTTAGTAATCAATTATAGTGTCTTTGTTTTTGTAATATTGTAAAATTCTTACAGAATGTATATTTATTTGTGTTCCAATGCATTGGACAATTGTTCGATTGTTTTATTAACACTGCTTTCCGTAGTCACTTCCTTTAAATCATTTAGAATTGTAGTATTTGTAGAAGGTTCATAAGTAATTGGTTTCGTTATATTCGTATATTTCTCCAACACAAGCTTAAGAATATTCGTCACATTAGACTAGATAATTTAATGTTTGAATTTTTAGTTATATAAATAAAAAATATAAATTTAATTATTTACTTTAAGCTCCGCAAAATTCATTTTTAAAGTTTCTTGTTGCTCAGCCAAAGTTTTATAATGGGTTCTAATACCCTCAAGATCAGTAGCAATTGCCTCTATTCTTGCACCGAAGTTAGCAACAATTTTTTCGTCGTTGATATAGTGCGATTTATTTTCCAGATTAGTGCAGTTATTTTGTAAGGACTCTAACAAGCGCTTAAAATCTTCTATCCTTTTAAATATTACAGTTTGGTTCTTGAGCAGTAATGTCGATGTTTCATGCCACTGCTGCATCGTTTCTGGTAGATTTTGGCTTGTAGTATAGGCTTAAATAAAAGACAAAATTTATTTAAATGATTCACTTATTCTTAATAAACTCAGACCTTCCTCGATTTTCTGTCTGTTATCGTAAATTTGTTGCCGTAAGTCAAAATAATACCAATACATAAACACGAATAACAAAGCAAATGACGTCATAAATATTAGAGGTCCACAAACGCGGAAAAATATATACTTTCTGCCTCTCCGGGTACTGCTGTGATAAACCTTGGGCTAATAAAGTTTTATATAAATAAATTTATTATTGAATTTTTAAACAGTTTAGTTAATGATTCTATATACCAATGTATAATCATCTGGATCATCAGTTGAAGCTGACATAAGTTTGTCTTGCAAGAAAAGTCCTTCATTAGATCGTCGAGACAAGTTTCGTTTAGCTAAGGAATGTGCAATAAGAGCATCTAATTCTCGACGTTTTCGCATCTTTTTGCCTCCTGGCCGATACGGGACATTTATTTGTGTTCTTGCTTCCATTTTCCTTTAACTACCGCAAGAAAATATTTTATATATTTTTGTTTTTTTTATAATTCAAAATATTTTGTTTATTTTCATTATCTCACAAAAATTTTTCATTATTTTGATATATAACTCTTACTATCGAACCTTATCCCACAGATTGCAAACATATTTATCGATTCTTTTTATATTACATATGTAGCAAGTAACGGTATGTGTGTACGTAAATATCTATACCAATATCTGGAAGATTCATGCGCAATACGAAATGTCCAATTTTCATATAAAAAATGTTACAAAATATTTTAAAAACAATTTCAACACATATTTCATATTTCACGTTGCTCAATGTTAAACCTTGAAAAAATATTGATTTGAAATATTTTAATAATTTAACAATTTTGAAATAAAATACGTTGATATCATTTATCAGCTGTTTTTGATTTACACGTTATTATTTTTAAAAAGACATTCTAAAGTACACATTACATTTAGGTAGTTTCACACTTCAAAAAAATAATACTGTCATAATATCGTTATTATAAAGTATGCATACCTACTAGATTATTTGTATACTTACTTAAAAAGATATTCGACACGAAAAATGAATTAATATTTTAAAGTTAAAACACAAAAATAAGTGATTACTACTTCTTCTGAAACTTTATATTAAGTTATGTTAGACTATAGTGGTAATGGCTAAAAGTTAATAAAATTAACACAAACCAGTACTGGTGGAGTCTTTTTTCTTTTTCAAAATTTAGCCAAAAAAAAATCAATGAGGATTGTTACAGGTTCTGGTGTAAATTGAGTTTTAAATTATTGTAAGTCTATGATTTTTTACGTGAATCATTATTGTACTCAAAGCATCCATTATATAATATCAATCTAATATTTATAATCAATTAAAAAAACAAGTATAATGCTAAAATAAAGGTAATAACTCAATTCAGACCAAAAATCTACATGTAACGACTATATTATACTGAATAAAATCTTATCAAACTGTATTATTTTTTTAAATAAGAATATAAACATTAAATGATCTCATTTTATTACAATTCGCAACGGTTATCTGCGCAACTCTTCTCGCAATAATGCAGATTCTTCACTAATTAAAACATCATTGAATTTAATAGTTTATTATAAATGCCTTTTATTATAATATATATGCATACAATTACGGTAAAGATATTCAAACTGTGATTATATTTATTATAATTAAAACTTTACATTAAACGCATTTAATTAGATAGTTCAGTAGACCTTATTAGTTGATATCAGATATAATTGGTTTCAGTTAGACCTAATTAGTTTGTACACAGAATAAAAGGAATAAGACCAAATGAATACTTTTCATTTATTATATTGAATCAAAATATTAAATTTGAACATTTATTTCATAAGTAGTGATATTTTATTTTTTTATAATATTATAGTAGTTTAATAAATAAAAGCTATTGAAACAAGAATATATGTATGTATGTCGCCTCTCAATGAGCTGGGAACAATAAATTCTTAGACCACATAATTTTTTGTATGTCTTTGTAAAACAATTTTGCATATCGTTTTTGACAAAGATTGTGTTCTTTATAGATTTTGTACAGATATAATCTTTAATATAATAATGATATAATAACACGTTCCTTGCCTGAAAATTATAATAGTTGATGTGAACGGTGTCTGTTGAATTTTAGAATCATATACCAAAACATAGGTTTGGAAAGTATAAAACTTAAATTTATTTTATTTGTAATTGAATTAAATATGATAGAAAAATAAATATATGTTTATAGTAGTAGGTAAGGGTGCGAAAACATCAAATCAGTTATCATTACTGAAAAAAAAAAATCAACTCAAAAATGTGATATCAATTGGTCCACACCTTCGCCATTGATATTTCACATAATGGAAGTTCCTATTCGTTAAGAATAAGACAAGCCTTCATTTGTTCACCTTGATTACCTCTTAATTTCATATACATATCAAATATAGACCGAATATGATAATGCTTAGGAATTTAGTCAAAAAAAAATATTTGTAATTTTAAATGTAGCATAATAGTAATTTGTTCGAGATTCTACAGTAATAACAAATTATTTTGTTGTGGATAATTTATCTAAATGAAAACGGATTTGTTTAAACATATGCCTACATTTTAAAGATTTTTGAATTTCTTCATCAGAACAGAAAATAACAACTCATTTAACAAATATCGTATTGGTGCTACTTATAGTAGAAAAATGTGAAAACAATAATATAATAAAAACAATAGACATGTCTTCTACCGTAGAACTAGTAGGTATTTCGTTGGTGTCCCCTTTCCTGTTCATTGTTTTTTTTGTTTTTTTTTTGTTATTGTATTTTGTGATTTCTTCAAAGTGGGTTTGGATAATATAAGCTTTTGAACACTATTAGCTTAACTAAAATGATTAACTTTTTTTATTACAGCTTTTTAATTAGTATGATATATTATATCATCAAGGTGTTGTATGAACTTTCATATGCATAGTTAAAATTAATGCACGGAATTTATAATTTGAGAATTCATAAAATATTCCGTTTTTGCGTAGTGGGGTTGTTTCTTTTTTTGTATAAATATGGTTTTACTAAAAATTTAAAGAAGATAAAGTCTAAAATTATAGACTTGGGAGGATTCCCGTAAAGGGACGTAAAATGGTATTGGTATGGTAGAGGCTATAAGCTCAAATTTTTGATTGGCATTTTAGTACTAGTATACCAATATAATTTAATAGTTGACGAAAATTAGTTTAAGAAGTTTTAAGATTTCCTTCTCTTTAACTTCTTTTTTTCATTCTTTACTTTTAATATTTTAATGAATAATAATTACTCACTTTTTAATGATATATATAGAATAAAGTGAGGATAATCGTTAAGTGTCAAATGTGTATTTAAGCATTTTAATCTTATATACCTGTTTGTAAATTTAACAAATCGAGAGTTTGAGATTTAAATCATTTATCACATAAATATTACAAAAGAAATACTTTTAATACAACGAAATCCTTTTTAATACTTAAAAGTCTAATATTTGTATTTTTACACACTAAACAATTAAGCATTAAATTTTTATAAATAATTACAAAATAATGGATGACATCATAACATAAAATTTCATTTAATGAGTAAATCATAAAGAAACTCCCTTCTCAGACATATCGTAAATTAAATATGTACACACATGGTTAATATAGAAATAGATCTCATTACTATTAGCTCGTAATTACATTTACTATCACATTGTAAGAATTAAGTGCCGCTATCAAATTATGTCAATGATAAACTGTTAAAAGCATTTGGATATTATTTAATTAACACAATTTTTATCAAAGTCCACTGCAACGAGACAATATCGGCTGTTATGTGTTGTTCATTAACGAACACCAGTTGCTCTTCTCTTTAATTAGTGTAGAATCTGTTTTATCTGTTCATCAAACTCGCCAATTTTATTTTAACCAAATTTTAATGAAACAACAAAATACACTATTTGAAATCTGAGGTGAGGTGTAGTGCAATTGTCAATATTTTGTTGCTAGTGCAACTGCACAAATCGTCGACGTCTCGTGCAAGTGTGCGGGTGTGTATGTGTGCTCTACGGTGGATTCCGAGCAGTGCGCTGAAATTCACCGTAGTTTCTCTTTACGCGAAGTAACGGACGTCGCAATTTTAATTGATTAAATAAATGCACAAATTTAATAAATAAATTTTACATAAAAACAATTTATTTTTCCGTAGTTCAAATATTTATTTATGGTAAGTTAATTTCGATACAGCAACAATGTGTATACAAATTGCTATACATAGATTTTGGGTATAAAATAACAGACTAGTCATCGTCTGGCCGCTGGCTTAAATGAATACATACATTTACGTGTGTATAAACGTATTTTTATGAATATGGGAATATTAATGAAATTTCTTAATTTGTCCATGTGTGCAAATAAACTTAGTTTGGAGAAAAAAAGCCAATTAAGTGTAGTATATGGGTCTGTAAATAAAATATGCAGTATTATAATATGCAAAAAGTGTGCTAAATTGTCTGCACAAAAATACGTACATACATGTGTATATCAAATAATTACATCAGCATCATTTATGTAACGTTGCGTGTGCTAATTTTGTAAGTTGCCACCCAACACAAATGTTTTGATTTTTTTCGAAAATTTAAAATATTTTTTACAATTAATTAAAAAAATACTAAAAAAATATAATTTTAATTAATAAAACTACCACTGTGTTCTTAAGTAAAGTAATATATTATTTCTGTTGTTGCGAATATTGTCATTTAAATTAAAAATTGGAGTTATATTAAAACTGGCGTGACGTTATAGTGTTCGTATTTTTGCATGCAATGTATGTATGTTGTATAACTATGTTTGTTTCTAAGCAGATCAAGTAATAACCTACTTTAAAAATGTTCAGCCTTCATATGCACTTGTACTTAAAACTTCACAAAAGTTACCGTAATAAACCAACTTATGTAAATATAACAATAGAAATTTGATTTTTATTATAATCTTAATAGTGATATTTCACTTTTTTAAAACTGATAAAATTTTTACTGTTTGTAAAGAATTAGTAAAGAATTTATATTTGAACAATTTATAAAGAAAAATCTGACGAATGTTCTATTTTATCTATTTATGCTTCAATGTCAACCGAATTAATCTAATCTTAAATAAAAATCCGTATTTTTCATAATTATGGGAGCTGAATACTGGTTCAGTAAACCCACACACGTATTACTTAATATCTATTAAGAACAATTCAGCAATAGTAATAAACTAACAAATAGTTAAGATTGTACTACTCATACTACTCATATATAATAAAGGATGTTTAAAAAAAAAATTTTTTAGTAATATATGTAATAAAATTCGACAATATGCAAAGTTCTTTAAAAGTATTTGCAAATCTAGATTATGCAAAAATTAATTTAATTTGTGTAGCTGTGGTTTATGCGATAGTTGTATTACCAATGTAGCTATAAACAACAAAAATCAGGACCGAAAATAAGTTATTTCAAAATTTTTTATGAAGAAAGCAGCAACAAAAAGTTGTCTAAACTCACATATTTAAGTATATAGTTATTATTCTTTCAACTTTTATCCTCAATATTATACAGTAAGACCCCGCTTAACGCCTGGGATACGTTCCATCAAAGTAGAGCGTAATGCGAAACAGCGCTAAACGAGGCTATGTTAACATGTAAATATTGGGGTTAGGGGAAGATTGATAGAAAATTGCTTAGGTATTAAATTTAATAATTATGTTTTTTTTAATAATAATAGAATCAAATATTTATTTCTTACAAAAGCAAAAACAATATTATTCAGTCTATTCTGTGTTTCCAATCTTCTGCCTTTTGTGAAGAAGGCATCTAATGTAGTTTTCTTTTGCGTTGATTTTGATTTTGAACTCCTGCCAAAATTTGACACAATTTCAACAAATTGGTCCATAATTTCAGTTGTAGTGGTCAAATTCCTTTTCACAAACAATATCGAAAGTTCTTTTTGCTCTTCTTCGAAACCACTACTATCAATATTTTTGTTTTCTTCTTCATCATCCTTGAGCTCATCATTAAAAAAACTATCTGCTGTTTCTTGAACTATTTCTGTGACGTCTTCCACTTTTACCTCATCTAAACCGGTTTGTTTCGCTAATTCCACTATTTCTAGCACTATTTCATCCATATCGACAGAGAGTTCAATGTCTTCGCTCTTACTTAAATCTGGTCAAATGTTCTTCCATACTCTTTTCAAAGATCTTTCTGTTATTCCAATAAAGGTTTATGTTTTTACTTTTAAAATTTCTGCCGAATACTTTTAAAACGAAAATAGAAAATGTAATTTTCATACAAGGTAGTTGTTTTTGTAATCCCATACAAAATTTTCTTGCCATTCTTTTCTTTTCTATTTGAAATGGAATTCTTGTTATGGAATATAAAATTTGTAATTAAAAACTATAATATAGTGTTTAATGTTAATTTTTTCTTCCGGAGAGTGACGCATCTTTATGACGAAAAAAAACTATTTAAAAGTTACATGGATTTGAATAGCAAACAAAGGCAAGAACAAAAATTTATTTAATTTATTAAAATTTGGCTGACCATACAACACTGTTTCGAATATTGCCAAGCACTCATCATCAGTGGCCTTAGGAAATATTTGAACTTCTTAATTAGTTTGTAGTTTGTAGTTCGTATATAATTTGTTTGGACTGTAAGTGCCAGGCTTAGCAATTTTTGTCCTTGACTTTTTTTTGCTATTTGAATCCGTATAATATAATGTTTTAGTTAATAAATATGATATTAATTATTTATAAATGTATATTTATGTTTTAAGTATTATACGAACTATTCAAAGCTTTGAGCATGTCCTAGTAATCGAAACGCTCAAGCATAGATCCCCATTTAAAAAATTTGAACACTATTTTGTGTTTTAGTTTTTGCTGATAACAAAACAGTATTAGCTGATGTTTGTATTAAACAAAACAAAATTAAAATAAAATATAAATCATTTTAGCAGTTCAAATAACTTAAATATATTCAAGCAGGTCAAACATTTTTGAATAGTGGAAATTCGAAGGGCTCGACCGCAGAAATGCTTATTTTGAAATAAACATATATATATGCTTATATTTATTTACATTTCTATTTTTTTAATTTATTTTAAATTACATATATATTATATATATGTATATATATATATATATTTTTCATTAAAAAAAGTTTTCATTAAAAGCAATCAAATTTGTCGATCGCTAGATTGTGAACACACTAAAAATTAAATGTTAATATGTAGTTTATAAGTATACTTTCTTGCAACTATATTTTTTCCTTCGACATTGAACAAATCAAGAAAAAACAAATCTTACAAAATTTTATTTGAAAAAAATAATACCCAATCCACGACAACGACGGATTAAATATCACCATTGAGTCAACTGCATCACATACTACAATTGTTATTATTCCAATTTTAAATTATGTATTGATATTGTTTTAAAGTTATTTTTGTTAAATCAACATATCAAAGAAAACATCTTATCTTTTAGCGTATACCATGCAGTGCAAGTAAACAATCCGTAATGCATTGAGAAAGTCATACTGCACTTGAATCACCCTACTGAATGGAATTTATAAGAATAACAGTAAAAATCTTTTCACTTCGTTCACGCATGCAGTCAGTGCTCAACTGAAATATAAAAATTACATCAAACTAAATTCAAATCATTGATTAACAGACCAAAAAAAAAGCGAAAACAAATACAAGAACTGCATTGAAAATACTAGATAAGAATGAAAAATAATTTTTATGAAAAGGTTTCATTAACATTTTCAATGTGTCCATGTGTTGCTTGGACTTTGCACATAACTTATGTAAAGGCACCATTTTTTTTTTCTTTTTTTGAAAATATCATACACAATATGCATGCCCGAACATTTTTGTATTCAAAACACAATTAAAAAAGTGCAGAGATAAGAGCTGCAAATCATTCTTACAGTGCAATGTGCAATTTTATTCACCACGCTCTAAATGTTGCTATCATAGGACGTCAAATTAAATTATCAGAATAAAATAAAAACGACAAACAGTAAATATAAAAAAAATTATAAAAAAACGCTGAAAATGACTTCGTAATTTAAATACCCAATAAATAGATTTCATATTCTAGATATTATTTAATTAATTTTATTCAAATAAAAATAAAAAAACTATAATTTATTATTTATATTTAACACAAATTATTTTATTAAGATATTTTCCGATATTTCGACTTCAATAGTCCTCTTCAGGGAATTAATTTTATTTAATTTTTTCATTCTTAAAATTATTTACTAAAGTAATTACATATAACATATTTTGATAGCTTTCTGATGACTTAGTAGATTTACTTTCTTATTGATATATCCTTTACATAAATAGTTATATTGCAAATCAATAAAAATTTCAATTGAAATTAATTCAGTTGCAATGTGGCATTTTAGCTGCATTCATTCACTTGAGTATAATACACAAGACAATATCGAACAACTTCTATAGAACACAACACGACATCGTTGTTGTTGCACATTTCTGTTATTTATTTTTTTGTTTATATTTTTTGGCTTGTTGCTTTTTGAGTTTAGGGCACATACCTTATGCAGTGATTATAAGAACAAAATAACAGCCTTTAATTGAATTGATATATATACGTTATGCAGTGTAGTATAAAAAACAGAAACTATTTCAAAATAATAATAATAATAGACTCGTTAGATTTCTAAACTTCTGTAAAAAGGCTCTAAATAAATAACAAGGATTTCTTTAAAAATAATTAAAGAATTACATTTGTTTTCATTTAGAACAGTCTCTTTCTTACTACCACTACATTCAACTTAAAATTATAATTACGAGAATGATTGTATTTAAAAGGTGTAAAAACATAGGCTTTTCTGGTAATCAACTTTATGAAATGTAGCGTTCACTATTTTTAGATCATGCAGTTTTTCCGCGATTTATAACTAAAGAACCTTATATTGGGAATAAATGTCATACAGTTGATGTTCTGGGCCCAGTGTATCTAGACCTATCGTAAAAATCAATAAATCGGTAAATAAAGTTGATAGAATAAACAAAATAGAAGGTAATAATAAACAATACAATCCCAATACAATTTGATTTTATTTTATTTGATGACACTTTAGACGTTCTCAAAGTGACAAACAGAATGATGTTTCACGGTTCTATATATCTCCTGTTAAGATCTTCTAGCTCTCTTATGAAGTACTTACTTCTTCAGCGAAGGAAAACTTGCAGATTGTAATTAAAGATATGGAAAAGATTGCACTAGTTTCTTCGTCGATAAGTGCATAAGAGAGTAAACTCAAAGTAAAAGTCAACTTCATTCCTACACAAAATTTGCTTGTCAAAAATTATGGCAAAATGCATTCAGATGCGAATGGATAAAGTAGAATATGTCGTGTGAACATTATAATGATGTCACAGGTAATGATTGCTCGTTTTGTTCCAACCAATTAATAATGCTCTCAGACTAGATTATTACTATATTAATACTATTATATATAAAACATTTTGTATATGTTATATTATATATTATATTTGTTACATATTACCAATAGAATATAAAAATCTAAATGCATCTCACCTCTTTTTTTATTTGTTGTATCTAAGGTTAGCAACAATATTATTTATTCAATAGTACTTAGTTTAATGTAGAAGAAAGTATATAATTAAAGTCCATTGAGGTTGCCAAAAAAATTACAGATTGTTTAAATTAAGAAAAGAATTTAAATTTATTCTTTTAGGTTATTGTAGTGGTACATCTGAAGATGTTCACTGAAATCTATTTAGTATTGAAATTTAGTTGAACGTAATTAGTGTCGACCTTTTCTTCTGCTATATGGTATTTTATATAATAATTAAAAAATTTATTAAATAATGAATAATATAGTGATAATATTTTAAAAATCACGTCCACATTCTAGAAGTAGTTTAAGATGACGTCAAGACTATATAAAATTGGCATAACAACCCTAAGCGCTGTGGTAGGAGGTGCGTTAGCCACATGGACGTTTGAACACAGAAATTCTGCATATCAGGTAAAATTATATAGATTCTAATACGTACATATGTATGTATACAAAATTAAATGTTTCTCAATATTGTTGTAGGTCAATAACGCTATGGTAAGACCGCCTAAAAGAAAACGTACACTTCCCGCTCGTGCAGAGCAAATAAAATCCCTACAAAGTGGAGATGAATATGATATTCTAATTATTGGAGGTGGTGCTACAGGTGCTGGGTGTGCTTTAGATGCCGTAACAAGAGGGCTTAAAACAGCCATGGTGGAGGCTGATGACTTCGCTAGTGGAACGTCATCCCGATCTACTAAGCTTATACATGGAGGTGTTCGATATCTACAGAAGGCTATACTTGGTGTATGTTTTTAAATAATTTTATTTATACATCATGAAAAATAAATGTTATGTTATTATAGCTTTAATAATATTTACTTTATTATTAATTAGTTACTATAAGCATTTTCAACTTAGTTTATTTACTATTTATTATGTTAGCTGGATTTTGAACAATATCGTATGGTAAAAGAAGCTCTACAAGAACGTGCTGCCATGCTTGAAGCAGCGCCTCATTTAGCACATCCATTGCCTATTATGTTGCCAGTCTATCAGTAAGTTTCTGATGCTTATATAATTTAATTTCATGTGTTTATTAATAAATAATTTAAGGTGGTGGCAAGTTCCTTACTACTGGGTTGGAATTAAATGTTACGATCTTGTAGCCGGTGATAGAAATGTTAAAAGTTCTTACTATTTATCGAAAAAGGATGCTTTAGAGCTATTTCCAATGTTGAAAAAAGATAAGCTATGTGGAGCTATTGTTTATTATGATGGTATTTGACTTTTTTATGAAAATTTATATTATTGTTATTACAAAAAACTTATTCTTAAGGCCAGCAAGATGATGCTAGAATGTGTTTGGCTGTATCATTAACAGCTGCAAGACACGGAGCTACTGTGTGCAATCACGTTGAAGTGATGGAGCTTTTGAAGAAAGATGATGGTACTGGAAAAAAAGTTTTGTGTGGTGCAAAAGTGAAAGATCATATATCTGGCAAAGAGTTTACAGTTAAAGCAAAGTGCATTGTGAATGCAACTGGGCCTTTTACTGATGCTATACGTAAAATGGATGACCCGGATGTCAAAATTATTTGTTCTCCAAGTTCTGGAGTACATATCGTGCTCCCTGGCTATTATAGTCCAGATCAAATGGGTTTGCTGGATCCTTCTACATCCGATGGTCGAGTAATTTTCTTTTTGCCATGGCAAAGGCAAACAATTGCAGGTACAACGGATTTGCCCTGCGAGATAACGCATAATCCCAAACCAACTGAAGATGAAATTCAATTTATTCTAAGTGAAATTAAAAATTACTTAAATGCTGATGTTGAAGTTCGACGTGGTGATGTTTTATCAGCATGGAGTGGTATTAGACCCTTAGTATCGGATCCTAATAAGGATGATACACAATCATTAGCTAGAAATCATATTGTTCATGTAAGCAAATCAAATCTTGTTACAATTGCTGGGGGCAAATGGACTACTTATAGAGCTATGGCAGAGCATACAATAGATGCTGCTATTAAAGGTATGGTAATATTATTTTTTGATAGTGTATAATAAAAACTAGAATAATAATATTATAATTTTATGATTATAGCGTGTAATCTAAAACCAGAAAGATCAGATGCTGTAACTTCACTTTTAAAAATAGAAGGTGGTCAAGGATGGACTCCCACAATGTATATTCGCTTAGTGCAAGATTTTGGTTTAGAATGTGAGGTTGCTCAACATTTAGCTAAATCTTACGGAGATCGGGCCTTTGCAGTTTCAAAAATGGCTTCACTTACTGGTAAACGTTGGCCAATTATTGGTAATAGAATACATCCAGAATTTCCTTATATTGATGCTGAAATTCGTTATGGCGTTCGCGAATATGCTTGTAATGCGGTTGATATGATTGCTAGACGTTTACGTTTGGCCTTTTTAAACGTACAAGCTGCTTCTGAAGCACTACCTGTTATTGTTGATATAATGGGTGAAGAATTGAAGTGGAGCAAGGACGAAAAAGAGGTAATTTCTATATTTTTTATAAATAAATATTTTTAGTTAGTTAACTACATTTTCTGTACTTTTTAATAACAAACAATTGTATATCTGAAAAATGCACCACCTACATAAATTCCTTATTATAGTACACAAAAGCCTTGAGCATATTATATTATCCGTCCTTTATCGGGGAGAGTTTGCTTTTTTGGTATCCACGCTTAGGTGTTTAAATAATGTACCTTACTGGATATCGACGATATTTTATATCTGTAACAGAAGCATATGTAGGCAATTTTCTTATTAAAGTAGATAAATCTGGAAACATCAGACTCCAATTAGCATATTTATATTTATTTTATATTTATAAAATAAAAATAATATTAATGTCTGTATATAGCAAAAGTTTTTAACCATTCAAAAAATTGCAAGCCTTAATCAATTTAAGTTTCATGCCGTGATGAAAAATGTGCCTTTCAGTAACTATTGTCGTAATTTGGGATAAAAACAAAAACATCCTTCACATCCGCTGTACCAAGTCACTTTTTAGATAATCAACTGTCTAGTCAACTTCTAGATACTGAGTTGGTTTTAAAGACAAAATACCTACAAAACGTTAAATACCTACAAGACTAATTAGATCCTCACCACTTACTCCATTACACCAGTCAATTTATTTGTACATTGTATGAAGGAGCTTTAACCGCAATATTGGAATAAGAATCAATAATTCTGTACGTCACATATAGTAGTCAAAAAAATTTGACATTATAGGTAATGCTTTCCAAAACATTTTTTTATAAGAAATAACATTAATGTTTGTATATATTCGCTACTTTATATAAATAATATATATATCTTTTGAATTTATAGAAACAAATTAAAGTAGCACAGGAATTTTTGGCAAATGAAATGGGTCAAATGGTTAATAGAGCATCGAAAGAGAGAATTCCCATCAAATTATCGCAAGAAGAAATACAAACGTATATTAAACGCTTCCAACTTATCGATAAGGATAAGAAAGGATATGTTTCCATTAATGATATTCGTAGAGCATTGAAGGTAAATAATATAAGTAAATTATATTATCAAAAGTTTTTATTAAATGTTAATATTTTAATATAATATATTTAAAATGCTACTGTAAGAATTTTGGCGATGGCGATGTATCTGGGGAGCAATTGCATGAAATTTTGAGGGAAATCGACACAAACATGAATGGACAAGTCGAATTAGACGAATACTTACAAGTAAAATTAAATTACTTATAATAATTTCTAAATATTTTAACTATTTTTGTTTTTAACGTTGTAGATGATGTCGGCTATAAAAACTGGAGATGTTGCATATTCTCGTTTTGCCCGTATGGCTGAACTCGAAGAACAAAAACATGAGGCTGCTCAATTAAAACAAAAAATAAGCGTTGATCGATCAGGCGGAGGCTTATAAATATGTAATGCCTTCAAAAAAACGAATTAACAATTTATTACCAAAACTAAAAACTAAAGTTAAAATGACATAACACTTTTTTTCTGCTGTTTAAATTTTTACATAAATAAACGTTTAAGAGTGGCTAATTAAATTTAATTTTTTTTTAATTCACTATCAATTTATTTATTCACTATAATAATATTGTTAATATAAGGAAATTTGATGTAAATCATAATCTATTCTAAAAATATATATTCTGTTATTTTTATTTTATTCTTATATACATACATATTACATATTTATATTAAAACTTATAATTATTTTGCTATATATGTAGGTACGATTGACATTGGAGTACTTACTTATATATTCCACACTATAATAGTCGAAAATTCGTTTGAGCATAAAACAAATATTGTTTTTGTATATCTATTTAGATTATATTTACAATTGTAAAAGAATTTATATTTAAAATTAAGATTCTGAATATTCGTTTAGGAATACTCGTTGCTGCGCATTTTGTATATCGTATTTGGCAGTAAAGTCTTTTTCTCCATCTTTCTCAAGTTGATTTAGTCTTTTCTTGTTTAATGAGTAGGACGCAGCTATAATTAAACTAAATGATACTATACAAACTAGCAATGTTCCATATTTTAGTGTCAATTGTATTGCATTTATTCCAACTGTGCTTATATAGAGTTTGCTAATTATTTCTTCTGTGTAATCACTTGGTGTTATTTCTATCCAGATCAGTGGTAAAATAGTAAAATCCTCGAAACGTTCAATTTGTCCTTTATAGATAGAAAAGACATCATGTAATTATTGTCACGTTAAATTTTTTTAATAATAAATATTTTCTACTCACGTTTAATTAAATTTGTTTTTTGTACTGCAATATTTATTTGTATACGTGAAGCACCTCCAATAGGAAAAGCAAATCTTGGATGAATATCGGCGAAAGTTTGATGTAAATTTGCATCAGGATTAATTCCTTCCAAGTGTTTATATACTTCTTTATCTCCAGAAAAGAAATGTGGAAAAGAAGGATATATAGGAGCACCATTATAACATTTAGTAGCATTTATGACACCACTTGGCAAACATTTTTCAGTATTATGACAGTAACAAGCATTATTTAAGTTTGTTTGTGGATTACCAAAAACTGTGAGTGGTGTACGATATCGTAACGCATCTATATCATCAAAAATTGTGACTTCTTTCTCAAATTCCAAAGGCACCTTTCTACATAGAACTTGTAGAAAAACATTTAGTTGTGTACGATTTTCTATCAAATAAGGTGGAAACATTGATGCATCTGAGCCATCTATTCTGTTACACTCTGGCTCACTCCAAAAGTCCATTGTTGGCATACCATTAAATTGAGTTATTGTACTAAATTTACGTATATCATCAACTCCAGTATTTATTTGCAAAGAATCAACACTAGTTCCATTACGCTAATATAATATATAGAAAATACAAATTATATATAAAGATATTATATATTCCTCTACTAACATTCATTAAAAGTCCAAAATGCGTATTTCCAGTTCCAAAATCAAGGGCTACAATTCTATCACGATAACCCCATAAGAAATTGTGAGCAGTGAGCCTTTTAAAAACGTCTTCTTTAAATGAGTTAATAAGACCGGTTGCTCCTAGTTTTTTAAACCGATTCATTTTTTCTATTTTTACTGCAGCTGTCAATAAGGGAACATTTGGTAAAATAAATGTGTCATGTTGGCCACATGTTGACTTCTCTGGCAAGAACTCGTACGATCTGTGATCCTAACAAAATAAGTTATTTTTATATAATTTATAAAGAAATTATATAATTACACAAACTTACCCTAAATGTAACAGTGAAGTTTTTATTGAAGGATACATTCACTTTCGTTGTATGTTCTCTGTATGTTAAAGGACCGATATCTTCCACTTTTATTTTCTCCTCCAGTCCTAACAAATATTCTTTAATATTTGTATAATTAAATATGTGTACTTTTAGTAGAGTGTCATATTTCGGTTGGGGACTTTTCCAACTTTCCGCAGTTTCAGAATTTTCTGCTAGTACTATATTCTTTTTTATTGGTTAATATATGTTTAAGTCAAAATAAATGTAACATACCGAAAGCATTGTGTCATTGTAGTACTCAGTAAACCACATTACAAAAAGTCCTGTTGCACTGATGACAAATAGAAGAAACATAACACCTAAAACTAAAAAACATAATAAAACGAATAAAAATATCATACCAAATAACTTTTTCAAAAATATATATATATACTTTATAATCTTATACTTTATATAAGATTATATACTTATAATCTTATACTTTATATATAAATATATATGAGAAACCATGCTTTTTTTTTAAGTGGATAAAAAAGGAAATAAATTAAAAAAATTTATCTTAAATATTTTTGCTTTCTTTAAAATAATTAACTAATGTTCCAGATGTTTTTGATGTGTGCAGTATTTAGTATGGCTATCAACTCTTTATGTAAGGTCCTAACGATCGTCTGATTCATCTCAAAGTGTTAAAAAAAGAACTAATACTTTGAATTTGAAAATAAAAAATGACCATAGAGAGTGATATTTGACTTGAAAGATGTTATTCGAGTAATGATTGACTAAATATGTGCATATAAATAGGACTTAATTCGAACTTATGCTAATTTTATGGTGCACCAAAGATTACTTTGTGTATTGAATATGAAAATAATCATAAGATATTTCAAGTCCACATCGTGTTAATTAAAAATTCCGAATACTATTTGAGCGTAGGTTACTTACCCACACAGGCAATTAAAAATTAATTGCTAAGAAGTCTTGATATTGTTAATATATCGATCACTTGTATAGTATAACATGATCAGATGCATATATCGATTTAAGAATGGATTGTTGTCATAATATAATTATTATAAATTAGTATATAAATTAAAATATCACCATATTAATCTTTATCGATATGCTTGTAAAGCTAGAAAATTTCTCATACATTTTTATCATTTAGAACAGGACTGTCCAAACCAGATGCAATCGCGGGCCAATACAAATCACTATACAGATTGGAGGGGCGAATGTTCGTAATTGTTTTTGACAAAAATAAAAATACAGTTATAATATTACATTTAGTTTTATAAATTTATCAATTCATTTATTTGGTATACCATTAAAATTAAACCATGTGGTTTTACCAGTACTAGATTAAAAACATTTCGCGGGCCGCACAAACATTAGCCTCTGGCCACATATAGCTCGATGGGCGTGGACAGTCCTGATTTAGAATATCTATTTAAAGCTAACCAGCTAGATTAGCTTTAGATTAAATAAAAATCGTAGCCCAGAGTATGTCAATGATAGGTTATACCGGCAAACTTTGAGATTCCACTGAAATCTCAGTGATTCATTTTTTTCTATGTATGGTTTGAAAGGATAACAGAAAAAAAATTGATCGCAATATTGGTGGGTCTTTTTTGTGAATAGTTTCTGTTTTGTATTATTTAATCTTTTGCTCCTTAGAAAATCAACTGAACGCCAATATATACATTTTCCAGTGTATTCTTATACGCGAAAAATTAATAACGGTAAAAAATAAAAGAAAAAGAATACAACATATTAATTTTAAATTATCAAATCAATTGGTTTTATATGATTTCCGGTTACTTGTAGCGCCATAAAGGTCATTGCTCGTAAAGTTAGCTTATCTCTCAACTGTCTCTAAGGTGTCTGCACTATATTTAATTTTGTTTGGAAAATTTACAATTTTTTTGCTGACTTTAAAATTTTCTAGAGATGATTTTTTTTAAATAAGTCAAAAAATTTTCTTATGGTAGTGTACGGCTTATTGATAGTATTATTAAAACTATAATGACTGAAAATTTAATTATAAAAACCAGTTGTAATAAAGAATATTCAATGTACATACAATATTTGAGAACGGTATCGCTCAAGTAATTATAAATAAATTTTTTACATACATATAGTATGTGTAGATACATTTTTTACTCACGTATAAAAGTGCCGAGTTCATTTCTTTGTTGTTGGTCTTTCGTTCTTTTGTTGAATGCAACTATTTGATTGAAGAGACTCTCGCTCTTTTTAGAATTCCTGAGTTCTGCACTAATTTTAGAGGAATTATTCTTGTCCATACTGTGAGTGCAAAAAGATTCTTGTTCTTCTTTGATTCTGTCATTATATATGGGTAAATGACTGTTCACATTTTCGAAATCGGAATTCATTTCTTTGTTTAATCTGAAATTATCTAAAATCGTTGTTCGATTTATTCAAAAAGAAAAAAAAACGTGATAGTTCAAATAATATTTAAAAAAAATGTTAATAATTAAATTTAAAAAAACAAAATAATATACGTATTATAATAGTTTTTGCCATTAATTTAATAAACGTACAAAACTATACATATTGTGTTTAGGCTTTAGATTATAAGTATTTATTTTAAGTTAAAAAAAATTATTTTTTAAGAAATATTGTCATGTTAGGACAGAAAATCAACTTATAACGAATATATAAATAATAATAAGAATTTGAAGAATATGCCATTGTGTCTTGATCTTTAATCACTAGATCTAGCATTTTTGTAACCATATTGTGGTTCAAAGTTATATTCTTTGTGAAAAGAACAAAAGAACATCTTTGTATGAGCATTTTAAAAAGAAATAAAAAAAATATTCCAGTTATGAAGAACCTGGTTATGAAGAGAAATGTAGCCAGTCATAAAAATGTCTTATTTACATAAAAATACTTAAATTCACTAATTTTTTTTAGTCCACTTACATTTTTTTATTGTTAAAAAAACAGCACATTATTTAAGATATTAATAAACAAATTATTTATTTATTTCAATGGTAAAAAAACTATAAGTGTGTAAAATACTTTATAGATGTTTACAAATACAATAATTACATGAAATTGGCAAGATTTATATAAATCCTGCTATTGTATCTGTTATTGTGTCACAGTATTATTCTTTCTGTAATTTTTATATAGCCGTCCATTACTAAGAGAAGTTACTAACAGGGGAGAGAGAGAAAAATTTTCAACAAGGTTTACTAAAGTAATTAGGAATTAATAAAAAGAAACAACTACCTGTGGACCAAATAAACTAAAAACGGATTTAAAAATTATAAAAAGGATAGTAAATAAAACGTACTGTGGTATTAACGCACTTAAATCCTTATCGCAGTACCTGATATTTTTCTCAATTAACGTTCAAAGTTATTAATATCGAAATTAAGCTTTTTATTTTCCATTCTCTAATTTCATTCGTTTGAATGTGATTTCGCATGATGGTCTTTTGAAAACCGAAACTGAAAGTTAAAGTTAATAATTAATCAGATCGAAATATGATAATCAATTCATATTATGATCTCGTATAAAATATATAGTAAAAATAAAATAGCAAAAATGCAAAATTTCAAAACTCCGAAAATAGTATCAAAACATTTATTGGATTTTAACAGGACTGTGAACCGCATACATTTTTAAATGCATTTGGTTTAGTCAATTTCATGAGTTCAGTACAAAACTCTTTATCTAAACTCAGTAAAAATTGCATATAATAATGTACAAGAATTTTTCCGGCTTATATTATAGTTTAGGTAATTAAACTATTAATTACATAAGTCCTAAGAAATGAAAGTTTGTTTAAAAATTAATAATTTTTAATTAACTTTTTATTCAAGTTTGTTTTTATTAATTTATATATATGTATATAAATACTTATATAATGTTTTCTTACTAAAACTTTAATACGTTTTTTAAATTTATTTGTTGTTTCATATAATTAATATTCATATAACTATTAAATAGTTATATGATTTTAGATAATTTTGCTTGTTGAATATTTTTTTTGAATAGTTTTTTTTTAGTTTTAATATTTTTATCATAAATGTAACAATGTAACGTTTATATATATATATATTATATCCATGTCTGCACGCTCAACTTTTTTAACTTTAAAATGACCTTAAACTACAACTTATATTCACAAAATATTGGTCTCCATTAGGTTATATACACAAGAGAGAATAATATAAAAGCAGGCAACAAATAATGCCTCCACAAACAGAATAGTATTGAAATTTAATAACTAAAAATAAAAATATAAGTAATTAATTCAATTATTCAACAGTTAGTTAATGATTTCGTTCTAATATAATTTAGCAAGTGAATTTGTTAATAAAAACTTTTACAGTAAATTCATAAAATATCAGAAAAATGTTCGAACATAAAAGTCAAATACGGCTTTGAGTCAGTTAATTAATGAACGCAGACTCTGAGCTTAGAATTTAGCAGGGCACGAGTTCTATTCCTGTTACTTGCAGTAACAAATAAACAAAAAATTATTTACCGCTGATGATGGGTATTTGGCAATACTCAAAACAGCTGTATGATCAGCCAAAAATTCAATTAATTAAAATAATATTAAAAGAGTTTTTGTTGTTGTAGTTCATTACTCTTCAATAAAAAACTTTTTATTTATTTTTTATTATATATTAAATTATTAATTTATTATAAGGGTAATTTTTTGATATAGTTTTTATATTTTATAGTATATTAAATTATTAATTTATTAAAAGGGTAATTTTTTGATATAGTTTTGGAGAGTTAGTTCAATTAATTAAAATAATATAAAAATAATTATTGTTGTTGTATTCCATTACTTTTCGAAAAAAACCTCTTTATTTTTTTTTTTTTTATATATATAATTATTATTAATTTTTATTAAAAAGTTTATTTTTTGGTTTAGTTTTGTTGAATTTTTTATTAACACTATAATTACAAATGTAATTTTTACATCAATTAATGCACTATTTTCATTTTACGGATTATATATCTTGTTGAAGTTCAACAATTTAAGAAATTTAAAATTCATTTATAATATGTATAATGCAGTTATTATTATTAATTTAATTATTAATTTTTTTTTTAATATTTTTATAATTGATTTATAATACATATAATGCTTTATTAATATTTTTTTTAACAATTATTTTTTACAGCTTATTCTAAATTTTCTCACTAATTTAGCACGAAAGTGCTTTAGTAAAGCTAGTAAGAGTTTCTCGATAAATTTATAAACGTGTACAATATGTGATTATTGTATATAAATGATTTGTTTTTGTTATCGTTCAATCAGGCTATTTAGCGAGATTAACTGTTTATTTACCCCTCTTATCAGCAAAATTTTGGAGAGTTGCGATGGGTCAATCAAAAAAAATTGACAGTTCACAATTTGTTCACTCAGCAGGAAATACGAACACATAACAAGATTTAAGAGATTATTTTTCACTTATATTTTTAATATTCTATATAAATTGAACATTATTTTAATTTTAAATCTTGTATAAAACCTTTGACTTTTCTGAGTTTTATCTTTTGTACACAAATAAAATGAAATGACCTAATTTTATTTGCGTTTTGTTTCACGACTTGTACTCTTATGTTTTTGTTTTGGTTGCGATTGGTAATCTATATTTTTCTATTTAAAGCGATTTAAGATTATTTGGCATGTGTTCTTTGTTGTTAAACTTTTTCAAAAGCAGTACAAATTTGCGTCGTCTGAAAATGAAAATTTTAATAATCTAAGTGCTGCTTGATAGAATAATTATAATTAAACTAGTTCTACAACATTATGCGGAAAACACTTTTGTGCACAAACAATATTGAAAAACTGTATTAAAACCTGTTCGGTACTTTACACAGCAACTCACTGGAATAGTATTCCACAGATCGTTCGCTCAGTTCTTAAGTTAGCAATATCCATTCGTTATACTCTCCTTAATGATCAAGTCGCAAATCGTATATTTTTATAAAATTTATATTTATATTTACATGATTTTGATTTTATTATCGAGTAGCAGAGGCTTGCATTCAATATTCTGTACAATTTAAATTTAAAAAAAATTGTTTTTTAAAGTTTTAATTTAAGTCTTTGAACAAGGAAGTTATTGAACTTTTATGTGAAGGACATCCAGTTATATGTTTAATTATATATACATATATTAATATTTTTTAAAATTTTTTTGGCAGCAGCTCTATTTTTTGGCAACTCTATTTTAAAATATAATATTATATTTAATTAAATTTTTTTTATTATAAATATATGTATGTTTTTCACATTTGTGAATTTATTTTAAAATAATTTTATTTAATATTATTTTTATTATCCTTACTTTGAGAATTTAAAAATATATTATTATTTTAAAAAAACACGGAATTTATTTTAAACGAATTGTTACACCGCCAAGTCAATGATAAGTTGGAAGTGACGACTAAGTACTGATAAGTCTGTTGAAACCTTATACAGCATTCATAATTAATTCAAATAATCACTTAATACAATAAAAATTTAATACATTTAATAATAAATATGTACACAATCTCTTCATATATTGTATATATTGTAGATAGGTATGTAAATGAGTGTATGTATAATAGCAAAACAGCTTCGCAGTGGTTTAATGTAATCGTTTAATTTTTATATGATTTGCGTTTATGTTTTTTAATAAAAAACATGAAAACAGTATAAGAAGAACAAGAACTTTGTATTTAAATAAAATTCTAGTAAATTGGGTCAATATTGAAAATATTCGACTATATCTGACTAAAATATCTATTTAAAGACACATCCATTAAATAAATGCATAAAATAATAACAAATTGTCTAAGGTCAGGTTAGTAACTTCTTTCTGAGTACTTTTATTGTGAGGCGATTGGCCGTAAAAACATTTGATAAGATTTTTGTGCAAATATAGAATAAATTATATGAATTTAATTGTGAAGAGGTTTTAATAAAGAAATACAAGTGCTAAAGAAGTGTACGATAAAATTGTTTAATATTTTATAGCACTTTATCTTGACGGTTCAGTTTTTTTAAATCAATTACGTTTTTTGCAATTAATATATAGAGGGTTAACAGCATGCCCTTTTCGAATTTTTAATGTGAATAATTCTTAACTGTCAAAATCACATATTTTAATATTCCAATGTTTCTTTTTTGAATTGGCCAGTACAAGTTCAAATAACAAAGATTTATTAGAAGTCCAATAGAAATGGATAACTGTCTCCATCTTGATCCTATTCGGCTTCAATTTTAATCTCACTCATTCCAAAATTATTGTTACTGTTATATAATTTCCTGCGTTCTCATCATCATTTTCTATTTACATCCTAATCTATGTATACGTCTTTGTAATTCCTCTTATGTTATCCGTTTTATAGATCTTGGCGAACTAGAACACTAACAGGAGCATTCAGAAGTTGCTTGGTAACTTGGTAAGTCTGTAATCGGTGCAGTGATAAAATAACAAACATCTTAATGCCCATTGTTCATGTTTTCTCGGTGAAATGAAAAAATAAACACTCGTAATTTTAATATGGAGTAGAGTTAATCTACTTAAGTTTGTCACCAGAGGACGCAGTGCGCACGTGTCTAGTATAATAAACTAATAGTATAATTATTAATACGAACTTGTGTAAAAATTTTTATATTGATGACACTTAAAAACCATTAAATGTTTGTTTGATCTATACTAAGGCTCTCCAAAGCACGGCCCGCGGCAAATGTTTGTGCGGCCCGTGACATGTTTTTAATCTCGTCTGGTAAAACCACATTGTTTTATTTTTATGGTACACCAAATAAATGAATTTAAATTGATAAATTAATAAAACTAAATTTAATATTATAACCGTATTTTTATTTTTGTCGAAAATAATTATGAACGTATGTATTTGTTTCTGTAGCCCCCAATCTATACAATGATTTGTATTGGTTTGGACACCCCTGATCTATACCAATCAAAAATTAATTTCTTGGGAGATTTCTTACTTTGAAAAATTGACAGCGGTGAGCACTTTAACTAAATAAAGACTCAACCTTTATGCTTTCTATGTTCGCAATTGTTATAATAATGAAAATAATAATTTTGGAAAAAATTTAATATACTCTAATTTCATGATATGGAAATAGCAATTATTCTCAGAATATTTGTGATTTTTTGAAATTGAAAAGCTGAAAATGAATAGTTGAACAATTCAAATGATTGAAAATTACAAAGTTGATATGAATTTTCAAGAATTCTGACATTCGGATATAGTATAGATATCATGGATCTTTCGATAACTATACCATATGATCCATAAGCAAAATTAGGGGGAGGAATTATTTCAATAAAAAATTATGATTTTATTAAAAATTTAAAAAGTAGATCCTTTTGAGAGCATGGGTATATGTCGTGGTAAATTTCAATATATTTATTAGTATCAGTTATTAAGAAAAATATTAATTTATTAAGAATTGCATGTACATTGTTTAAAGATGTTGAGATCATGGGTCTATGCCGTGTTAATGAAACTTTGTATGTATGTTCATATAATTGAGTGAAAAAGTACATGCATATGTATGTATACAATATAAACTTTACACATTCCTTGTAACAAATTAAAAATCATTGATTTTTCTTATTAAAGTTCGAATAGGTTATCGTCAACTGTAGTGAACTACAGCTAAATATTTTTGCGTATTTCTTCTTATCACAACTAAGTAAAACTGATATGTATACATGCGTACATGTAAATATATATATACATATATATATTATTATTATTACGATGTACACATCGAATGGGTGCAAATAATTCCGATCATCTTATCAGCTTTTATAAATGCGCTAGTGAAATATTTAAGTACATTCAACTTTGTACAAGCATTTTAATTTTATCAGTTTTAAGTTTCTTTCCTATATTTACTCTCTTTTCTATTTGCACATACATATGTACAAAAATATTAAAATAAGCATATCCTTTATTTTTTTTAGAATCTTTTTATTAACTGTAATTTATATCTGTACTTACTTATACATATGTAAATAAGTACATACTTATAACTTTGTGAAATTCAAATGGACAAAGGATATTTTCTTATTTACATATCTAAATAAATTTATAAATATTTGCATGATAATTCTTTTTATTATACCTTTAAGTCTATATATATGCACA